CTTTTTTTTTTTTTTTTTTTAAAAAGGCAATTCCCTCAAAAATCTTTAGCTGCCCCTAATCATATGGTGAGTTTGGGAATAAGACGTGCAACTTGTTTTATTTAAAAACAAGAAAACATAATTTTTCAGATGACCCTTCTCCTTTCCAAGAGTTGACCTTTAAAAGAATGGCTGGAAAGAATATATGTAAAGTAAATTGCGCCTTAAATGATGTTGCAATACAAAGGATGCCTTGGACATCTCTAAGGACTTTGCAACCACTAAAGTGTAACAAAAAAAAAAACTACAAATCTTAAATTAAATGCAATATCCTCAAGCAATTAACCTAACACAAAATAAATAAAAGAAAATAACCTGCCATGGAAATAAAGACAATAGACTATGCAGGATTACATTGATTTTAACTTCACAATCCATAACAATTAAACTAATTACTCACAGATTTAAAATAAAAATAATTGAACCACTTGATAACTAAAAACTAAAAACTAAAAGAGAATCTACGAATTGACTAAAGTCTAGAAACTCGTAAAATTAAATATTAATTTAGAAATTAAAATTAAACAAGTTGTAAGCTTGGCAGTTGCGAAAAAACAAACAAAAAAAGGTAGAAAGCATTCAATCTATTTACATAAACAAATAACAAAGATGAATTTATAAGAGAAAGAAAAACTAACCAAATCAACGAGGCAGACCCGTTTTCAAGGTTGATTTGTTTCCAAATCCTAAAAAACTAACCAAAGTTGCAATGTTTAAGGGAAAATACAAATAAAATGGGGAAAACCTAGATTAAAACTATGAACAAAAACAGATCTTACACTCTAATATGGAAATTATACTGAAATCTAAAAGAAACAGTCTGAAAGTTGAAAAAGCATATGCACTAGGTAGTTTTTTGTAGGGCAAACCGTGTAGACTGATTTTTTCCTCTATTTTCCTTTCCTTCGATGCTGGGAACCCTCCTCCATGATTTTCAGCCCTCTTCTACCATAAAATCCTAATAGTACCCTTCTCTTAAAAATCCTCAACTTCTTAATTTAAACCAAATTCAACCACTAAAAACTACTTTATCATTTGCCACAAAGTCCAGCTCACCTTAAATTTTGTCTGGGCCATAAAACTTTAAGCTGGCCCAACTCAACCCAGCCTGTTGACTCTCCTTGTTGACCGGGCCTAAACCTAACACGTAACCTCATCTAATTAGTTTATTTTTAGATGTAAACAAAAACTGTGAAAAGATAATTTTACTGATTATAAACTGTAAAAAAACATTTTAATGTTGTGCTTTTATTTTTTATGATTCTACAGAATTCGGTGCTGGAATTTAAGAAAGTGGTGAATGCAAAGGAGCAGGTGGCTTCTGGAATGATGTATTATATAACCTTGGAGGCAATGGACGGTGATAAGAAGAAAGTCTACGAAGCTAAGGTCTGGGACAAGCCTTGGTTGAATTTCAAGGAGGTCCAGGAGTTCAAGCTTGTCGGTGATGCTCCTCCAGCAGCTTCCAGCACTTAGCTAGGTAGGTGCTTGCTTTTTTGTACATCTAATAATAATAATGATGGATTATACAATAAGAATAGCTTTTCCCTTTCTCTAAATTCTTTTTCACCTAATTCAAAGTTCAAATCTGAAATCTTCAAATTAAAATCTCAAACTCTTAATCATTAAATCAGATTTAAATAGATGCTTGTCAAACCGCCCTCTATCTGTATCTAAAAGATACTACCTTTGTGTTGTGTCCATTGCCTCTATTTATTTATGTCCAAAATTTTCTATTCATGGATTATTTAGGTCCAAAACTTGCGATTCATGGAGTAATTTTGTTTACACCCATTTTTGCAAAATAGTATAATGATGCCACGTGTCATCCATGTTGGCAGATATTTCATTAGTTGAAATTTGTTGGAGTAAATCTTTGGATAAGGTTGAGTGGTTATTTCCATAACTGCAGTAAGGTTGTTGGTTTGTTGCGAACTTCCAGGAAAATAATTGGCAGAATCAACAGAATAATCAGTTTGTTTCAGATTTCATGCTGCTGTTGATTGTCAAGTTGCTGCCACAGATTTCCAAGCATGCTGCCAAGGGTGTTTACTGCTATAAAGATGCAAAGAAGAAACGAAGCGGGGGAGACGAGCCTCTCACACAACTAGCCCAGCGCTATCTACATTTTAATTTTACAAGCAATGTCTTAGTTTAGATCCAGTTTCCTCAAACAGCTTTCCTAATTTAGTCTTTAGCTCTATGCTGCCATTAGTTTCAACTCTGATTTTTGTTATTTCGTTTTGAACATCTCCATTGATGTATTTAGTTTTCTGCAATTCAATTTACTGCACTTTGCCCCAAAATTCATCTTTCTAGCTTCTTTTAAGTTTAGTTTTATGCTTCAGCTTCTATTTCATTTTCTACGTTTTCATCGTTTTCATACTTTCGCGGCGGCATCACGCTTTCTCTTTGCAATTTAGTTTTCCTGCCATGCACTCTCTTTCTTCTCCTTTCCTTTATTTTCCTCTTTTATTTT